CACGGTCTGTGATGGTCTCTGGGGTTCTCTGTCACGGTCTGTGATGGGTTCGGAGGTTCTCTGTCACGGCCTGTGGGGGGATGGGGGTGCAAATTTCTGCCCCTAAACACTTCAACACTCCTTTCAGATCGTGTTTCACAAAAACCTCCACGAGAATTATTAACAAGAATGGATCCATAGATGCTATAATTAAACATAAAACATTTTCTACTCTCTTCCTCATATATAGATCTATGCCTTTTCATTTTCATTTATGATTTTCCTTTCGATCCTACAAGAATTTACTTAATTAATTATGAATCCTATCCCAAATTCTGAATTCTGTCTGGATTTATCTTTCCTACTTTATTCTAGATAAAATATTCTCCTACCAAACGAACACATATGATAGCAATAATCTACAACAAGAAAATCCAAATATCGAAACGATTAAACAAAAACTCGAGACAACTCCAACAACATTACAAAACAATATATGCAATCATTAACAAAAAAAAACGTAAACCATAATAAAAAAAAAACAACATCAACATCTCAAAATAAAAATATTTCACAATTATATCAATCAATAGAACATTATTAACTTTAAAAAAAACAATATCATCCAAATTTCCACAGCTAAAATGGTTTTGGCATTAACCATTCTGACAGCAAAGAGTCGAAACATGTCGTATGACTTTGCTTGAATTATTTCTTTTATATAATCTCACCCTCACCCTCACCCTTATATATAATACTCAAGATAGCCACCTTCAAGCAACAAAAATCAACAATCTATATATGAACATCGCACTACGTTTTCGAATTTCGATCATCGTTAGTCCACCAAATGTGTGTATTGGGTACACCTGTGATGTCAGCTGCTGGTGCATTACATGGAAATTCTCCCAATGCAGTATCATTCTCCCAATAAACTAGATTATCATGTAGAGATTCAACTGGACCACAGTTCATAAGTTCAGCCAGACGTGTCGACAATGAATTTTGTTCAGATTCAGAATTCATTGTTGTTGTTTCGATGTCTTTGGTTAAATGACTAAAATCATCAATAAGGAATTGAATAGCTGATCTGTAGATTTTTCCTGTTTGACGTTGATCGGCATCCAATGGTAGAAATGCTGCAGGTAGACCAGACTCCAAAGTTGGCAATGCATCAGACAATTGTGAGACAATCATTTGTTTTTCCGTATCACTTAGATTTTGTGGACCTTGATGACGACAAAATTCGAAGACACTCCGAAGAAAATTCCCAGTTATTCGAAACAAATCAGAATCCGAAGCAGATGGTAAAATTTGATTAAGTTTCACTAATGCACGAAAAAAATTGTTTTTCGACATAAGTAAAGAATCTGTCATCTAAAACAAAAAAAGCAAAAGATTCAGAAAAATTCTTGTATAAAAATAATCTGTAACCGATTCTTGAATAAACTTAAACCTAGTCTGAAAAAAATTTATTGTTTAAAGAATGCAGCGACTGTACGACACATTTCTATAAATAAATCTAAATTTTCTCCAGCATCGTTCTGTTGGCCGAGCAGATATGAAAAATTGATTCTACCATAGTTAGCTTTGGGATCGACTTGAAACGATTGATCATGCAGATTCACCATTGCATCTTCGATTTTTTTATTCCACACATCGGCAGAACCAAAGAAATCCGGGAAAATAAATGTTGATGCTACTCGGCGACTGGATCCATCATTTTCTTGAATTATAAATCCGACTTGTTTATTTACCGGATTTGCAAACACTAGTCGTGTCTTTTTTCCATCTTGTGTACGACCTGCACTAAATAAATGAGTGTCATTAGAAAATATTTTTTTCGGTACATCATGCAAGTAAACTGTCATGTCTCCATTGGAATTGAATTCGTTTCCATGCTTGCGAAAATGATATACTGCTGAAAGATCATTTGTGGATGGATATGGAGCATTGCGTCTTAAATCGCTTGCTTTCTGTAGATCAACATTCAATTTCTGGTTAAATTCGCGGAACAATTCACTATCCTTGCTTTGCAAGCTCTTGAGAATGGTTGCTTTTTCAGACCGTGGCTTGTTCTGCGAAGAAAAAATCTTTTGGATTGAGAAATAATGTGAAAAGAAACTTACCTGAAGTTCAGAACGTACCAATTCCACACAACTACAAAAATCTTCTACAGTTTGATATTTTCGTTCATTGGCAATCGTCTTCGCTGCTTGTATAACATCTTGTTTATAATTATCTGCAGAGAGCGTACCTCCCAACCGATTGATTTCAGCTGGGCTCATGTTCTCAAAAATCTTTTTATTACCAATCTCTACTTGCGCGAGATCTTGAACATTGAAAGCTTGTGCCACTTTTGTCTTTATTTCGTCCTGAGTCATCAGAAAATGAAGACGTTCCTCGCGCTGATAGGAACGAATCTTTTGACGATATTGCTCTGGTGTTATTCTACGTCTGCTGTAGTCTGCAGTGGCTTGAAGAAGTTCGACACGACGAGTTGGATTTGTAATACCACCAATCTCATGGAATGCTCGTGGATGAATATCGATTTGACCGTTGATATTGAAAGTACCCTCTTTAGTAAGAATGACAATACTACCTGTGTCGGCAACCGATGTGAAAAACTCATCTGGATTTTTGATGTAACGAATTGACTTAATTAGATCAGCATTACCATGCATTTGCCGAGGACCGCGGTTTGAAGCAATGAAATTATCAAATTCTTTTTGTGCAGCTGGATCCTATAATTAAACCATGAAGAACGAAAAAATTGAGTTTCATTGTTTCTACCTGAATGTTTTGTCTAACTGAGGCAAGATGTTCTTTTTGTGCACGTTTGATGATTTGCCCAGCAGTTTTCGGTTGAATTAATGTATTCGTAAAGAAAAATACGCTAACACAAAACTGTACTACATCGAGAGCTGTAAGTTGATTATTTATTGCTTTGACAGTAAGATTCGTGGCTGCTAGTGCAATTGACAAAAAATCGATAGAAAACGTCGATATGTTTAATATCGTGACACCAACACGTGCTGATGGTTGAAGCACATTACCCATTTTAGCCATATTGCTTACTACACCATTAGTTAATGGTGTTGCTACATTAAATACAGCACTAGCTATTGCTGTCCAGGCGGTTAGTGACTCAAGATCTGTAAGACTTTCGCCATGGGTGCCTTTATCGACTAATTTTTGGGTAGATCTACAATTGAAATTTGAATACCGAAAATTCTTTTAAAAAACTCAACTCACCTAACAGTACCGTAAGTTGCAGAAGAAATGCCAACAACCGTGGCAGTAGTAAGTATGACCGGTGCTAGTGGTGTAAACAGTCCGACGATGGTAAAACCGGCAGCAGCGAGTCCTAGACCGGAGGCAATTTTGTCTAAAACACGACCAACTTTACTTGGTAACTTACAGGCTGGCGACTTTCCAAATACGATAATCGGTTCGCTATTCAAATCAAATTTATACTTCCCTTCCGGATCGCAAGTATAAAAACCATGCTTTGGATAGCAATAGTTACATTCCGGCAGATGATTGTTGCTCAAGAAGTCTTGCCAATTTTTATATATTCGACCTTTGTAATCAATATAGCGAACGCTCTCGGATGACGTTTTTACTTCCCAGAGGAGACGAAAGACTGGCAGATAATAGCGTTTTTTCCGACCTTTCACGCATACAAATATTATTGCTAATTTCAATTCCTTCAGAGGTGCTTTTTGATGAACTTTAATAATTTTGTCCTTAAGACGAATAGCTGTTTTAGCTTGATCATCTGTGTATGCATCAAGAAGATTCGTAATTTCTTTTTGATTTTCAATCGCCTAACGCGGAAAAGAGAGATTATTGGCTATCTTTTAAATTCAACAAATGCACTTACTGGTGGTCCAAAAAGAGCAAATGCTACCTTGACAGCAAGATGATCGTATTCATCTTGTTTGTACGAATCCCATACTCGACCATCAAACATTAAATAGAAGCACTTTTGCTCAGCTGCAGCCGTTTTCTTCCATTCCTTGAAGTCAGAAAGTTTCTGACTAGTAGCTGTCTTGATATCTAAACATTAAACAAAAAAACAAGCAAATATAAGAATTAATTAATTAGCAGTACAAAGCATTTTAGCATTTGAAAATAAATTCTAGATCAGTGATGTCTCAGTACTGAATGACTAATCAAGAATATTCCATAGTATTTGAAAAAATTTCAAGATCTATAAATGATAATGTCATTGGTAATAAAAACGACTAGTAGTATCAAGAGAAAAAGCATAGTATTTGTAATGTTCTTTTCTTCTTTGAGTGTGACTGAGTGTTTTATTATTCTGCCATAAATACAGTGAGCTAATGCTAATGTTCTTCCAAAGACATATGACACCACCGAAAGGATAATGATTTCACGACTGAAGTCCTAGCTATTGATAAATGAGAAGACAGCATACCGGATATCACTTGATTTACTTCCATTAGGTTCTTCTATTCTTTCCTTACAAGAAAAACATATACGTGATCCGAAACACAAAAAACATAGCGTATATACTTGTCTACTCTCCCATGTGATGATATATCTACAACGATAAATACTTGGGGTTACTCGATATTGAGTGACAAACTGGACGAGTAGCTTGGGCTACTCTCGCTAACGAAGTTTATTTCTCTACGTCATTCTCCAGAGTGTAACAAATTCATACATAGCACACACTGATATAGGGAAGAAAGACAAAATTAGGTCGCCACACGTTAGCATAAAAGGGAGAGAGGAGGGAAAGATATATATCAGATGAACAGAGAGAGAACATATCATCTGGAGATGATATCAGTTCGTTAAAATATCTACAGGAATTGTTTCTTAAACGAGAAGGTACATCGAACAGAAAGAAAGTTAAAAGAGATTGTCTGCAGATTATATTACTATCTTCGTGTCTTCTCATTTGCGAACATAAAACTGAAAATTACAATTACTTAATTTTAACTGATTTGTTACTTTCAGTTATTTTGATAAATAAAAAAAGTAGAAACTTTAATATACAGGGTGGCCCATAAGTGACATAACAAAGTATTATTTCGATTTCTCCCTTATACGTAGTCAGGTGTAAGATACTGGAACATGTAGTTCCCAAAATTTTATTGTCTTCTACAGCATCATTGATGTGATAGAAATAACGGTTTATTTTAAGTATTAGTGCACCAATTCGTTTAATTTATATTTTATTCACTGTTTTCTATTCTTCCGTACCGATTACAGTTGTATTTTATTATCCAAGGGGGAAACAGCTGATTTAAAATCATTTTTAAATAATTTTAAATCAATTAAATCATTTAAATCACTTTAAATCACTTTAAATCATTTAAATCACCTTAAATCGCTTTAAATCATTTTAAATCATCATAAATCATTTTTTTTGCATGATTTAAGATGATTTAAAATCATTTTAAAATCATTTAAAATCATTTAAAATCGTTTTAAATCGTTTAAATTATTTTAAATCATTTAAATCACTTTAAATCATTTTAAATCACCATAAATCATTTTTTTGCATGATTTAAAATGATTTAAAATCATCTTTAAATCATTTTAAATCATAAAAATCATTTAAATCCCTTTAAATCCCTTTAAATCAGTTTAAATCATTTAAATCGCTTTAAATCATTTTAATCATTTAAATCACTTTAAATCATATAAATCACTTTAAATCATTTAAATCGCAGCTCGCTGTTTCCCCCTTGTTATTATCTATAATTGTACTCACGCATAGATATTTCCAATTTCGGCAGTAAGTGGGAAAACAGTCTGAGACGACTTCGCCAACTTTACTCAAGAACACGGTACAGCTAAGTCACTTTAAATTTCAAGAGCTTTAATAGTTCCAGTCGCTCTGATTATCATCAAATCATTTATGACATTTGTTTGCGAAACAATATTAAAGTGAAAACTTCTACGAATAAAAGTTGACAAGATACAATGATACACACAAAATAGGGTGTTTTCTATTAACTATTCACCTGGCAGATTATTAACAGCGTATTAAGGAGAACTAGTGCAATCTGATATTTCATTGGTGCATTATGTCTATTTTATCAACGGAGGATCCACACGGACCCCAGGTGAGCAATAAGTGCCCGTTCCGCAGGTAGGCGTTTCAGGGTTAAGCAAGGACAAACTGATCGTCGTATAAAACTTCGCATCATTCTTTATTGAAAACTCACCCTCATCACGTTTAACAGGTGAGGTTTTCACAGGACCAGTTTTAACAGGTGGCATTTTCACAAGACCAGTTTTTACAGCTGGAGTTCTCACAAGACGGCTTGTCCGCAGGTAACGCACTCACGTTTTGGCAACTTTTAACCCGAATTTCTCGAAAATAATAAAGCGTAGAACCTTGAAATTTGGCGTAGAGATGCATGCTACAAAGTTGTTTGACACCTATAAGTTTCATGTACACCAACCGCATACTTCTTGTTTTATAAGAAAAATACATAGCGGTAACGCACTCATCCAAGAGGCTTTCATTTTTTTAGGTGAGGTCAGAAATGTTAAATTTCCTGCGAATATTTAAGTTATAAAGAAATATAGTTTACAGAAAGTTTGTAGCGAAGAGTTACGGCTATCCACTGGAAAAAAGGTTTTTAAAAACAGTTGTGTTGCTTTAGAGTTATAGTCAAAATACTGTGGTAACTCATTCACACTTTTTTTTCTAATTTTTTATTCTTGAGGGCTCGCTATTTTCTTTCACACTTCTGAGGTATAACATAGCTTATTTTCGTTTCATTTTCAGAATCCTATTAGTTTTTAGAATGCAAAATGAGATATAAGATAGTTTCACAGCGTTTAAACTTATTCTTTAGTAACCGTTGTCTAAAAAGACAACTGTTCATTCGTCTACTGAATCACCTTATAATCGACAATCAATAACGTATTTACGTACGGCAACGATATTGTGTAATTTTTGCGTGTTTTTCAACGACGTGGTATGAGTGAAAAAGCTCTTTTTGCTGAATGACTGATTTATCAAATTTTTATTGCATTATCTCGTTGAGAATGATGCCTTTAGTTCTCTTTTTTGAGGTGCAAACAGATGCAGCAGCATTCTGACATTGTAGTTGTACAGTTGTTATCTATTGCTACCTATTTTTGGTTGATCTGATGGCCTATCAAGCGGATAGTCGACACTGACTAGACCAAATTTTTTATTTTTGGTCTGGCCAGTCCCTCTTCCAGAAAAATCAAATCAGGCTGAAACAAACGGCCTGTTAGAATCTTTGTAAGCCGTGCGTCGCTTTTTTTCTTTGAGAAGCTGTATGCTGCAAAATTGTCTTGAGTTTTGGTCTAAATTTACCAGGTAGTTTGCTGTGTAGCTAATCATTTTGTCATCTTTACGAAAAAGAACTAAACAAACAGTCGAGACTTTTGTGAAATACAATGAACGTACAGAATATAATGCGCTTTGAAAACATCAGCCGTCGAGTATAGGCTAGTAAGCTCATGCGGGTCAGTCAACAGATCAGCCTTCCAGTTTTGGACTGACCTGGAGGAGGGATAGGCTAGTCTAAACCAAAAGGTAGTCTGTTAGTGCCTCTACAGCCTAGCAACTCTGGTGAATACATCGAAAATCATGTGCTGCGTGGAAAAAATGGTGTTATCAATCACAAAATGTGAAATAAAGTATGGGCAAAGAAGAGGGTTGCATGAGTGCGTTACCATTTGTTTTCTTAGTAAAGCGATATAGGCAAAAACCAATTGACCCATTCGACAGGCCATCAAAAGTTAGCGAAAGTCCCTAAGTGACCATTAAAGTGGTTTTACAGTGATGGTGTAAAATAAACTAAAAGCCCTTTTTTTAGTAACGCACTCACTCCTGATTTGATGAAAGTTTTAGGTGCCCTTTATTTCGTCTAATCAACCATGGACAAGATGAAAATTATATCTGTAGAAAGCCCAAACTTAGCTGATTCAGAATATATAGCACGCTTCAATGGTTAGTGATTCCTTTCGGTTTTTAGACATATTCTTTGGTCGCACTTAGACGTGTGACAGTTCCCAGTTCTTTTTCGAGAACTGGGACAGTAACCAGTTCTTTTTTCGAGAACTGGGGGTGTTGACCAGTTCTTTTTTAGACAACTGAGCAGTGGGCAGTGTGTCCCTCCAGAACTAGATGTGTTGACAAGTCCTTTTAGAGAATTGAGGATGCTGATTAAGGATACAACGATAAGGGAAACCGGTCTATCCGTAAACATGGCTAACCGGTAACTGGTCGAAACGATTAAAACATAACCGCTATGAATCGCCAATGACTCTAATGCATACTCCATTAGTTATCAATATCTATTCTATAGGAGTGTCCATACGTTCTCGAGGCCTATATTGGGAGGGTGCCCCTAGGTCCTCAAGTCCAATATTATGGGGGTACCTTTAGGTCCTCAAGTTCTATATTGAGAGGGTATCCCCTAGGTTCTCATATCCTATATTCTGGTGGTATCCTTGGATCCTCATATCCTATATTCCGAGGGTACCCTTGGGTCCTCAAGTCCTATATGATAGGACCACCCTTGGGTCCTCAGGTCCTATTGTATAGCGGTATGGGTGTGATAATAGCAATACCAGTTAATAGCAATTTGTATTGGTATCGGCTGGTATCGGTATTTGTGTAGGGGCTCTTCCTCCCGTACGTCAAATATCAACACTTTGAAAAATGAACAATGGACTCGGATTCGTCGATCCCGAGAGCCTTCGATCAAACTTTATAAGAAACCGTTATTTTCGAAAAATAACCTTTTTTCAATTAAAGAAATGAAATTCGAAAATTTTGAGAAGCCAATCATAAATTATTGATCCTTTCATCCAGAAATACTTTATTTTAAGAAGACAACAATTTTTAATAAAGTTTAATCGAATGTTTCCGGGGTCAAGGGATTTGAATCCATTGTCAGTTTTTGAAAATATTGATGTTTGACGTGAAGGGCCAGCGGTTCCCTACAACAAAACCGATACTAGCCAATACCAATCCCACTTGCTATTACCTGGTATTAGTATTGCTAAATCGCTACCTCTATACAAGAGGAGATGAGCATCTAAAGGTATCCCTATAAAATAGGATATGAGGACCCAAGGGTGCCCAGAATATAGGATATGAGGACCTGGAGGCACCCTACAATATAGAAAATGAGCACCCAAGAGTGCCCCCGGAATATGGGATATGAGGTCCTAAAGGTACTCCTACAATATAGGACTTCAGAACCTAGGGGTACCCTCCCAATATAGGACTTGAGGACCTAAGGGTACCCTTAGAATATAGGATATGAGGACCCAAGGGTACCGCTATAATATAGGACTTCAGGACCTCGGGTACCCTCCCAATATAGGACTTGAGGACATAAAGGTATCCCCATAATATAGGATATGAGGACCCAAGGGTACTCTATAACCTAGCATTTGAGGACCTAAGGGTACTTCTAGAATATAGAATATGAGGACCTATGGGTACCCCTATAATATAGAACTAGAGGACCTAGGGGTACCATCCCAATATAGGACTTGAGGACCTAAGGGTCCCCCATAATATAGGATATGAGGACCCAAGGGTACCCTATAATCTAGCATTTGAGGACCTAAGGGTGCCCCCAGAATATAGGATATGAGGACCTAAAGGTACTCCTATAAAATAGGACTTGAGGACCTAGAGGTACCATCCCAATATAGGACTCGAGGACCTAAGGATTCCCCATAATATAGGATATGAGGACCTAAGGGTACTCCTTTAATGTAGTACTTGAAGGCCCAACCGAGCTGGATCCAGTCCTCCAGTTCGGAGCTGGAACTGGGGCATCCCTACAAATTTCATTCTTTGAAAAAAGAACTGAATGCCGGTTCCGTTTTTTTTAAAAGAACTGGGTACCCGTTCCGTTCTTTCAAAAAGAACAGATATTGATGACCAGTTCCGTTCTCACATTCGGAACTGTCACACGTCTAGTCGCACTAAAACAGTAATAGGTTTCAAAAACGCACTAATTTTGTTTCTTGTATAGATTTTCTCACGGATACGGAAAAAAAATAAAATAAACTACATTTTCTGATAGAATAAAGTGCGTTCTACAACCTGATATAACTAGTTTTGGAAAATATTAAGGTCTTACTTTTATCATCCTCGAGGAATGTTATCTCGAGGTCCTTTATCATGAGTTTTCCAACATCAGCTTCTACTGACGGATGTGTACTTGTCATGAGACCACGTTTTACCGATGTAGTTTTCACAGCATCAGTTTTAGCAGGTGAAGTCTTCACAGCATCAGTTGCAACAGATGAAGTTTTCACAGCACCAGTTTTAGCAGGTGTAGTTTTGACAGCATCAGTTTTAGCAGATGCAGTCTTTACAGCACCAGTTTTAGCAGGTGAAGTCGTCATAGCATCAGTAGTAACAGATGAAGTTTTCACAGCACCAGTTGTAGCAGATAGAATTTTCATAGCACCAGTTTTAGCAGGTGAAGTCGTCACAGCATCAGTTGTAACAGGTGAAGTTTTCACAGCATCAGTTGTAGCAGGTAGAGTTTTTACAGCACCAG